AATTATTCAAATTGAGAATAATGATAAATGAAAATATTTTGTATTAAAAAGAGGCTTATAAGTATTCCAATACTTTGGTAATTTTTAGAGGATTTTTTCTCACCTAGAGAATTCTCAGGAATCACTACTTAGACCTCCTAAGGTTCCATCATTGAAAAATTTTATTTGCATTTAAAACTATATAATGCAAACAATAAAATAGAATATGCATACAAAAAAATATAACACTTATTATATTTTAATATTTTTTAATTGTTTTTCGATTATTACTAACACTTTTGAAAGGAACAAAGTAAACAAAAATTTTTATTGAAAATTTTCCTAGATACCCTGAATTTTGGTGGTATTTTAGAAAATTTTTCTCACCTAGGGATTTCTTAGGAATCTCTACTAAGACTTTCTTAGAATTTCATCTTCAGAAATTTTTATTCACTTTGTCCTTAATTAATTTTTTTCTAATTTTTAAACTTTGATTATACCAATTTTGTTGCTAAAAGAGTTATTACACATCATTATTATCATCTTTCAAAACTTTAGAAAAATAGATAAATGAAACCTTTTTTTATTGATTATTTTCCTAAATACTCAATTACTTTGGTAGTATTTTTTAGAAAAATATCATCACCTAAACATTTTAGAGAATCACTACTTGAAATTCTCTAAATATCATCGTCGAAATTTTTATTCAATTTATTATTAATAAATGAAGAATAAGTTTGCATTTAAAATAAATTAAGGCGCAAAAACTAAATTGCATAAAAATCAAAGTGAACATGGAAATTTACCCAAACTAGCAATGACAGGAAAATGCATGGGATTTAAATTGTAATCATATTTGAAACAACATTAGTGAAATACAAATGATGATATAAAACAAACATGAAAATAAGCCTTATTATAAAAATTTTAGCATTTTTTTAAAACTTTGTAAAGTTGTAAACAATTCAAAAAGAAAAATAAGAAAAGATTTTAAGCTAGGTGAAATAATACTATTAACAAGTGAAAAAACCAAAATAGAAAAAGAAATTCTAGCCTTCCCATAAGTATTAATCACACCATAAAGAACAATAGATTCAATAAATATCTAAAAATTTATAAAATAGCTTCAAACAAATCAACTTGAAAATGTATTGACTACAACTTTCATGAAGTCAAGCTAAAGATGCACATGGCATATAAAGAAAAAGGAAACCAATTTAGTCAACACTGAACTATATAAATGAAAACACTACAGTAGCTAAAAACAATAAAAAAAGCAATTGAAATCACGTCGTTTGAAACAACAAAAAAAGTTAACTTGAAACCTTTTTTCACTTGGCTTGCTTCCTCTTTTCCCTTTTTGGCAGTTCTTCCTTATTCCTTCTAACAATTTTTTCTTTTTTTCTTCCTTTGACAGCTTCTCCTCTAGCCCCTTTCTTTTGGCAACTCTTCTTTTTTTTTCTCCTCTTTTACCTTCTCTGTTCGGCTTTCTTCACTTTTTTTTAACAGCTTCATTTTTTTACGTGTTTAGCTTTTTTTCTTTTCCCTCTAACTTTCTTCTTTGATCTAACTCTCTAGCTAGCAAACTTTTCTTTTCTTTTTGTTTTTTTATTTTTTTCTTTACCTGCTCTATTTGGTTAACCTCTATAATTTTTTTCAATAGGTCATTTCCTCCCTTTGCGTGTTTGACTTTTTTCTTTTTCCACTTTTCTAGCTTTTCAGCCTTCTTTTTCTTTTTTTTTTACTAGCTTTCTCTTTATTCTTTTTGGTAGCTTTTTCTTCTTTCTTCCTTTAGCAGCTTTTCCTCTTGCCCCTTTTTTTTGGTAGCCTTTTTTTTTCTTTTTGTTTTCTTCATTCACCTCCCGTATTTGGCTTTCTTCTCTTTTTTTTCCTTTTTTATGTGTTTGGCTCTTTTTCTATTCCCTTCAGCTTCATTCTTTGATCAAACTCCCAAGCCAGCAAACTTCTACCTTCTTTTTTTCTTTTTCCTTTCAACTTCACCTTCTCTATTCGGCTAGCCTTTATATATTTTTTTTCAGTAGCTTTATTCTTTCTTTTTTTTTTTTTACTTGTTGGCTTTTTTCTTTTTCTACCTTTCTAGCGTTCCTCCTCTTCTCTTTTAATCGAACCCCTTAACCCTCTTTAATAGTCAGCTCCTAAAAAAAATCTAATTCTTGATGAATATAGACCCTTGGATGAGATTTCATCCAAGGTCAAAGCTTGTCCTTTTATTCCTTTCAAGGAACCACCTTTGATCATTGGATCAAGATCAATAAAAAATTTGATGGCACACATTATTCAATGCAAAGGATAGATTTTAATGCCCTCCAAACATATGAAAAAACCATTTTACCCCTAATAAAAAGTTTTCGGTATTTAAGCCATTTTCTTGGAAATCAACGTTTTCATGCTCGTTTTTTGGGATTTTAAAACACCAAAAATTATAAAATATTATAAAATTGAGATCTAGAAAGTTTCATAAAATCCAAGCTTGAAAAGGTCAAATTATGAAAATACCCTTATAGGGGTATTTTAATAATTCCATATTTCTTGAGGTACTACTATGATTTCAACTACATCAAAAATTATGAAATATTATGAAATTAAATTTTAAAAAATTTTATGAAAATCCAAGCTCGAGAAGATCAAATTATAAAAATACCCTTATAGAAGGTATTTTGGTAATTTCAAGTTTTTGAGGTATAATTGTGATTTCAAATGCACTAAAAATCATGAAATATCAAGAAATAAAGTTTCATAAAAATTCAAGCTTAGAAAGGTCAAATTATGAAAATATCATTTATAGAGATATTTTAGTAATTTTGTACTTCCCCCAATGAAATAAAATTTTTTAATGTTTTAAAAATCATCAAATTTAATTTTAAACCACATTTATTTCAATTAGACTTTGAACTTTGAAGATTAACCACTGTTTTATACATTTTGATTGGGTTTTGTGTAATTTTGACTTGAGTTGATTTTAAAGTTTACTCATTTTATTTATTCTTTACTTCTCTTACATTCACGTGAAAAAGTATCATCCATACAAATACCATGCAAAATAATTTGACATTAATCATATGGGTCTTCTTTTATTAGGCTTAAATATCGATACATTTTATGGACTTTTAAAGGGTTGTAAAAGGGCTTGGGTTAACCATGCTAAAATATTTTAGACAAAATTTGGTGTTTACAGCATTCAAAATGCCAACTCTCTATCAATTACTAAACCTAGCGATCTAAAACACGATATAGTGACACAACATGAAAATGATATGAATAAAAGACACAAAGATAACACGGTTTAAATTTTGAAAAAAAATCATAAATAGGTTTAATAAAACAAAAAAAAAATGTCTTTCATGTTTTTGTGTGGACACAAATTATAACATATAATTTTCATGTAAAAAATGATATGAATATATGAATTATCAGTATTTTATACTACATGAGTACATGAATTATCAGGTCTATCAATAACAATGATGATAGAAAATTTACCTATAGGCATCAAATTTTTTTAACTTATCCAGTGCCCAAATATAATTCTCAAAATGTTCGGCCTTTATGTACACAATGCAAAAAAAATTCATCTTAGTGGGAGTTACATAAACAATTTTAAACAATGGCATACAATACCTATTCATTTTATAAATGCAATCTATAATCAGGATATTTAAAAAAGCTTGTAATAACTCTACACTAGTAAGATGAGCCCAAAACAAACCTTTTACACAATTGTTAGACTCGTCAATCCTCTACTACCAGTTTTCTCAACATATTTATGTTTTTTACGTTTATTGTATATTATCTTCAAATTCTTATGATCATATTATTTTATGGTAAATAGTATGTTTCTGAGTCAAATTATACTATTGGACATGTTGGCAACTATTCTCCTTTCTTTTTAAGTTAATCGACATGCAAATGAATATCCCTCTAATTGTGTTGCTGGTAGATGATTGTAAAATTCATAAACTATTTTTACGCCTCACTCATCATCCATTGCCAACTTGATCCCATATAACTTAAACAGGTAACCGCACTTTTTCATTCATGTTCTCTTACGTTGTATTTCTACTACACTACCCTTATTATTTTACTCTGTATTTTTCATTTCATTCACATGCCAATCTTATTCTAAGTTTCCTCGAGCTTCTCACCTCAAAGTTTTTAATCACAATTACAAAACCTTTTTCTTTTCCAATATGCTTAGCCTATGAAATCAAAACTTCTCTACTACAAAACACCTGCACAACATATTTGACTTAATACGTCTCTACAAATTAACATTCTATGCATTTTAATAACACTAAACCTCAAAAATATAATCTTTCTTCTTTTGTAATAAATGAATCGTGGAATCACATCTAGTATCTAAATTTTTTACTAATTGATCCTACTCTATCAGTGCAGTTTTCAAATTAATCTACATATCACAATATGTTAAATAATTATAATTAGAACAAATATACAATTTTTAGAAATTATAGTTTCTTAAAAATTATGCTATATTTTCAAAAATGAAAATTTGAAATTATAGCATGATTTTTGAAAATTCATTATCGAAAATCATGTTGTATTTTCAAAAATAAATTTGTGTAAATACATTTTATTATTTAAAAATTCATTTTAAAAAATATTATTATATTTTCGAAAATGAATTTTCATAAAAATAAAAATTATATGCTCGATTGGGTTGAGATATCATTACCTTGTCGAGCTTGTCTCTTATATTATTATTTCTCATTTCTCTATTCCATTTTACACAATTTATAAGATTTAACACATGTTACAAAAATTTGATTTTAGTTTCAAAGATTTAGTGTATGAGAAAGAAAGAAGAAAAGGTAAAGAAGGAAAGAAGGGCAAATGAGGTTGTAGAGGGTAAAATTGTAATTTCATTATATATAAAATTGTTATTTTCATATGATCATTTAAAAAAAAAATGATGGTTTGTAGAAAGGAGATTTGATTGTGCATTTAGAAGTACATTTTGGATTTGGATGGATTTTCGATGTTACCGTTTTTACCCCCCACACTTACTTAAAACTGTAGCCTCTGCTTTAATACTCGTTCCCGGTGTCCGAAAGAACAAAAAAAAAAAAAAAAATCACTCATTTGGCAGTTGTTGCTTGTTGTTCTGAGAAGGGGACTACACATGGCTTCATCCGTTTCTCCCCAACAAGACGAGGTGCTTCTTCTGCTCTTTTGCTGGGTGTATTTTATATTATTTTATTCTGTCTTCTAACGAATTTCTTCATTCAAAAGACTTGATTTGAATTCTCAAAACAAAACCCAGAAAACATTCCACTCCTTCACTCTCTTTGCTCCTACTACATATACCTTCAAATTAACTTAAACCATTCTACCAATACAAACTTTGTTTATCGTCTTATTAATTGAAATTGACTTTATGTTGATTTTTATTTCAATTACAAATATGTCAATCTGTCTGGCGGATTTTGAGTTCCCAGAATCTTTCCTTGCTTCACAGCTTAAACTAAGTTTGGCATATTTGGGAGGGTCTTTTATATTTCTTGATTAGCTCTGCAGGTTCTAGTAGAAGCAAACAGCTTTGCAAGAACACTAACCTTAAACAGGCCTAAGCAGCTCAATGCCCTTTCATTTCAGATGGTATGATCTGTTGCTAATAGGGTGATAAAGTTATTCTTGTTTGAAATATAAAATAGCAATAATGTTTTCTCTCTTTATGGCAGATTTCTCGGTTATTGGAACTTTTTCTTGCCTATGAGGAGGATCCTAATGTCAAGCTGGTAATAGTGAAGGTACACACACCTATGAAGAGACAGCTTTACTACCCATTTTCTTCTACTTTGTTAAAAGAAACAATATGACCAAAAAAAAAAAAAAAAAAAGAAAAGAAAAGAACATGAAATTGGAAGAATTTGAGGCTGATTACATTTTTGGGTTGCATACAAGTGTGCCCGGTCTCTGCTCTTTTGTCATTTCAAGTTGGTCAATAAGATTTGTTTCGCCATTATACTTGCTTATTCCTAGAATGTCCAATAGAAATGCTATCTATATTCTGCGTTAACTATCTTAGTACATTAGCATGGTCATATACATTCAACAGTCATGACTTTGCTCTGTGTTAATTTATAATCTCTGCCCAGATTAATTTTGGAAGTCTAATTGGGCAAGATAGGTGTCTTATATGGTTCTTAGGTCAAGGCGATATAGGAATTTACTTCTCATTGGTGCCATTTAATTGGCAGAATACACTTGAAAGGGGCATTGTCTGCTCAGTTTTGACCAACGATATTCCTTACTGTAATCAAATTGTTGAAAGACTTAGTTAATTTGCATGAATTAAGTTTTTTGAATGATTCTGGAAGATTTGCTAGGTAATAAGTTATCTTATTTGACTAAACCCTTCCATAAAAGAATGTTTTAGCATTGAAGAGAATGTACCTGACAGGTGGCCATTTGTCATTAGGGAAAAGGAAGAGCATTTTGTGCTGGTGGAGATGTTGCAGCTGTAGTACGTGATATTAGGGCAGGTATAGATTCTTTCATTTGTTATGGATCTTAGATACGTCTACTAATCTTTAGGTCTAAAGGGTTAATAAGTTACATTATTAGTTTGCTATCACCTTTGTTTCCTCTTTCTCAACCTCACATTTGCTATCATTTATGATTGTTCTTTTGCTAGCACAGCGAACCATATTTGAAGTGCTCAGTCAAAAGTGCTTTCTTTTTCCATCTCTTTTATTGGATGAATTTAACATCAATGATTTTTTCTTATGCATTTATATGCTTTAGATTGTTGGAAAGCAGGTGCCAACTTTTTTTTGAAGGAGTTCACCTTAAACTATTTGATGGCAACCTATAGCAAACCACAGGTAAACCAATTGGCTTTAAGATTCCATTTATTTCACTAAAATGTTCTTCCAGGAAACAAAACTTTTTCCTCAAAATTATTTCTCTGAAATGCTAATATATTTTGTTGTTTGGTAACATTGCAAAAAAAGAAATTCTCTGACTATGCGAAAAATATCTTCAAAACTCTCTATCCATGGATAATTTAAACTCCAGTGCCTCAGTAACATTTCCACACCATCTAAACGAATCATCATAAATTCTTAAAAAACTTTTGAATTTATGAATTAGAAATAACCATATAACGCAATAAATTAGTAATAAAATTCCTTCAAATTCTTTCAATAGATTTGAATCGTGTTTTACCTATGACCATAATAATTTTTCCTTTCCTTTTTTTTTTTTTTTGGCCATTAGGACCATAATAATTTTCCAGGTCAAGCAAAATTGATAATAATTAATCAGAACTTCAAATTGTTCCCAACCCACATCAAATTTAATCAATACAAAATAATGCATAAAATTAATCTTCAAATTCATATGCTAAATCCTCAAACAAATTAATCAAGAACAATAAAAAATTTGGAATTTGAGCATAAAAGAACACAGAATCTGAAAATTAGCAAAAATGGAATGATGGGAGTGCAAAATCAATTGAGAAGTTGCTGGGCTTCCTTGACAAGGTTTTCAATTGTGAATTTGAAGTTTACACAACTTGCAACTCTTGATATGGGTGGGGTGTTTGGGTTGTGATCTGAGATTTCCAATGGAAAAGGGTCATGGATGGTCTGTGGAGAGGAAGGAAATAGATTGAATGGGAAGGGAAAGATGGAAGTTGTAATCAGAAGAAGAAGAGAACATCAATTGCTGAGGTCTCATGAGTGCGGAAAGAGGAAGAAGGGAAGGAGGAATGGGAGAAGCTGTTGCCACTGGTTTTCTTTGTATGTTGACCAGAGAGGGTTGTTCCTTTGACCATATTATTTTCTGTCAACCAAACACCAGAAAATACAGAAATAGATTTCTAGAAGTCAATTTCGGCCAAACAAACAGACCCTAAGTAAAATTTCATAAAAGAGACATTTAAGACTATGCTGACTTTAGCCTACATCAAGTATATGTTTCTTCTAATTGTGAGAATGCATATCTCATTGAAGGTTTCAATTCTTAATGGAATTGTTATGGGAGGTGGAGCTGGTGCTTCAGTGCATGGTAGATTCCGTGTTGCAACTGAGAATTCGGTATTTCTCTCTTTATGTATCCCTTCAAGTATTTTAGAATTTCCTTGCATTTATTAGAAGAAAACATTGCTATATTAGCATTCTTAGCTAAAATTTTCTCTATTGTTTAATCAATAATTATAAACCTCCAATTAAGATAATGTGATGTCTTCCATAGATCTTGTCTACTTTTTACATTTTCTATAAATTTGTGAGACAATCAGATTCTATGTATAGCAGTTTTGTTTTCTCTATCTATATTTTTATATATATATTGCATGTTGTGTAGGTTTTTGCAATGCCTGAAACTGCTTTGGGACTCTTCCCAGATGTAGGAGCCTCATATTTCTTGTCAAGACTCCCTGGATTTTTTGGTAATCCCACTTATATCATTGATAATTTTATACATGCCCTTATTTACTATTATTTTTAAAATTTCGTATCCTAAATCCTTAAAAAAAAGAAAAAAAAAAAAGATGAACCTTTGTTTAACCTCTTCAGTAGCATCCAGGATTTTGACTGATGCCTTTTGCAGTTACAAGGAAAAATAGTATTAAGGCACCATAAATTGGGTTCTACTTTATGATAGCTACAATAGCAATCTTTGGTCTTTGTTGGGTCTATTTTGGTTTGTAGAGATGTTTCAAGTTGTATTGATTGTTCTAGCTAGCCCAAAAACTTGTATGCTTGAATTTGCTTTGTACTTAACTTCACATTTTGTCGCCATCTTCTGGCAGGAGAATACGTTGGTCTTACTGGCTCAAGGTTGGATGGTGCAGAAATGCTTGCATGTGGCCTTGCAACTCACTTTGTTCCTTCAGCAGTACGCTTCCCAACCTAATATATAGCTGACTTCAAATATATTTGAGGAAAAGTAGATTCATACTGGTTGTTTAAGGAAACAAGATAGAATGAACACATAGCAAGTGTCGGTTTTGTGTTCCGTTTGGCAAATAAAGTTAGCTTGCAATTTTCTTTTTATTCTATTTAAACATTAACCTTTGAAAGTTAAAGTGTAGAGTTACTGTCAACTAATAAACATACGCTTCTATATCAAATAAAGCTACTTTTGTAACAATAACCAGATTCGTCTTATAAGATTTTATACACAGGCTTCTTTATTGTATTGAGTTACATTTGTAACTCAAACCAGATCTTTCCTTTGGCTGGGGAAACTAAAACCAGATTTCTGTCTGCACTTATTAAAACAACTAAAACTGCAAATAAATTCTCTTACTTATCTTTGCTTTCTGAACTGAGGAAAAGCTGTGCTGTGATTATTTTAAGTACGTAACTCAGATTATATTGACCAGAAATATTGTAGAATGGAGTAAAAAGTCATATAATTAGCTAGTTAGCACAACTGTGCTTCTGTTAATGTATTGACCTTTAAGTTATCTAACCATCTAGGAAGTCATTACATTTGGTAATGTTTATAGAACAACTAGGCTATACATGCATATTTTGTAAGGGCTTCATTGTAAATTTTCTCGCACTTGAATTGAAATTGACTTTTTGGAAGTTTGAAATCATGTCTATAGCTTTTAATTCCCCAAAAAAATGTTACCCTCCATTCAAGTTGCCACCTGTGGAATTGTTTTTCCTGCTCTAAGAAAGCATTTGATTGTACTCTATGTTTCATTAGAATCCTAAAATCTCTGCTGAATTTATAATTCAAAATGGCAGTGTGAACCTCTCTTGTTTTGTGACTTAGAATATATATATTTTTAATAATTTTAGTACTTACTTTATTTGTTTGTATCTTTTCACTTAACCAACAGAAATTACCCATGTTAGAAGCTGCATTATGTGATGTAGATTCCAGTGATCCAGCAATCATTTCATCAATTATTGATCAATACTGTGAGCAACCTTCATTGAATGAGCAGAGTGTGTACAATAGGTTAGTTTTCTATTAATAATTTATTATCCTGCATAGAAAGTTTGATATTTGCAGCCCAACAAGGGGGAGAGAGATATCTTACATATTAATAGTGAATATAAAAATTTTTGAATATCTGCCCTTGTATTATAATTCTTTTTATGAAAGATGAGGTAGCCGATAACATTAAACTGAAGGCTCATATTTGCAACATTTATGCATTCCAAAAGCCTGGTTCAGTACATCATATTTAGGATTTGTAGTTTTTGAAATCAAACTTGCTGATGTCATACTGACATTCCTAGATCCTAATTATCATTGCTAATGTAACTGCAGATTAGATGTCATTGATAGATGCTTCTCTCAAAAAACAGTTGAAGAAATTTTATCTGCTCTTGTAAGTTGATAATTTGATTTTGTTTGTTCTGGGAAACATTAATCTAGTGCTCTCTTTAAATGTTTCTTGCATGTGTTTTCAAAGTTCCCTGCAATTTATTATACCATCAGTAGATGCCATCTAAGACAAAAATCTGTGAATACGCTTTCACAGGAGAGGGAGGTTGTTCACCGAATGGACGGTTGGATCTCTGCTACAATTCAAACACTTAAAAAGGCTTCACCAACAAGTCTTAAAATTTCTCTTAGATCAGTAAGTTGACATATTCATATTGATTGAGACATGCTAATGATATCATTATTTGTTGAGGTTGCTTTAGGGTTTCTGCTTTAGGTAAATTTCCCCACCCTACAAACATGATATACGGTATGTAGTATTTATCAGATCTTTTATTCTAGTTCATTTTGAAACCCTCCATTAACGAATTTAGCCATAAAAAAATTGTCACTCGTCAATTTTGGCATATGAATATTTTTCTCTTATGCTGGTAGTGGCACAACTGAAACAAGAAAGATAATATGACTTTTCATTTTCTTTTTTTTTTTTTAACAAGGAATGAATTGATTTCCCTATATATTAGTAAATAAAGGATAATGGAGTATCTGATTAGGAGATTGTTTGAAGCCTGATGAATTGTTTCAGCTTGAGCTGACTCTGCTCTTACAATATCAGATTAGAAAAGGGAGGCTCCAAGGCGTGGGTCCATGCCTTGTTCGTGAGTATAGAATGGTGTGTCATGTCATGCGGGGAGAAGTCAGCAAAGACTTTTTTGAGGTTTCAGCTGACTCAAATATCTTTATGTATTTTAAATTGCTTTAGTTCTCATTGTTTCTTCAGCTGATTAAAAATCTTAATACTTCCTCAATGCAGGGTTGCAGGGCTCTATTACTGGATAAGGATAAGAACCCAAAGGTTGGTATTCTCTTTCCTGAATCTTCAATCACTTATTTCCATTTTATGATGTTTCTTAAGAAGACTGACTGAATTGCCTCTTTGGTTTGCCAGTGGGAGCCGTCCAAATTGGAGCTTATTGCTGATGGTACAGTTGACTGCTATTTCTCCAAGGTGAACAATGAAGATTGGGAAGATCTAAAGCTTCCCACTAGATCCAAGTTCAACTTGCCACCGTTTGCTATTGCAAAGCTTTAGATGACATTTAAAATGGTGTTGAGTATAGGGCAGAAAGATGTAATAAGCTGTCATGTCACTCCTTGATGAGTAATAAGCTGCTATGGGCATTTTATGCAACATAACTCTGAATTCATATGAGCCCAATAGAAAATTACCACAGTTAATTGTTCTCTATATATATGTGGAGGGGGTGTTTTTCATTCTCTATTTGAAGCAGCATGGGCATGGCAGTAGTCATTCATTCTCCTCTCCTGTTTGGCAAAATAGTTCTTGCAAACACCATCTGACTGGAGGCTGCGTGAAAGTTGAAAAACAATAAACAAAAAACTTTATTCTCAACTTAAAGTTACCAATATAAGAAATGGGCTAAACTTTCGACCAAGTGGGGTAAGATGTCATTCATAGGGTGCAAAAAAAAGCATTAAAGTAGCTCTGATTTGGAGATGAGTCATTAAAAAAAAAGAATCTAAAAGATCACACGGTTAAGGTACTTGCATTAGTTGCAAAAGCTATCCTAACAGTAAAATTTGTAATAATTTCTTTCTCTTTCTTGTAAAACGAAAGAATCACCAGTCAAACAAACTACATCTCAAAATTCTGGTAAAATCTTCCTCAACAAATCTTTTGAGGTGCTTTTAGCCCCCCCCCCCCCCCCAACCCTTTTTTTTTTTATGATCTCTACATTTACTTTTAAGATCTTTCTCTATATCGTTGATCTTCTTCTCTGCCACTTTGCTGGTTTTTTCTTAAATGCCTATGGACATTGTGAAAAGCTTTCTAATTGAAAAAAAAAAAAAAGCTTATGGCTAAATTATGTCAACAATTTCTGTACTTTATTCAAATTTGATATTTAATCACTTTATTATAATTTATATAAATGTAATTCTTATACTATTTTGATTTGATAACTTTAGTCAAATCATTAATTTTGTTAAATTTTTATTGTTAAATTTGTTGACATGACAATTTTATTAGTTAAAATTAGTTGTCAAATTATGTAAATGGTTCATATACTCGTATAAAATTTATAATTTAGTCTTTTTAGTATAATTCATAAAACTTTGTCCTTGTATAAGTTCAATTTGATAATATTGGTCCAATTACTAATACGATCAATTACTCTTCGTTAATTTTGTTGACATGATCGTTGATTGTGCTAGCCTAACATTGAATATGCTGATGTGGTGCCTTCGATGGATGAAATCGGTTTATTTTGATTGATGTGGCATCGTTTGGTTAAGGGATTGATCTTGTTTAAAAAAAAGATAGATCCCTTTTACCTTAAAAACTCTAAGAAACCTTTTTGATAAAAAAATGAATTGATCTTATAAGCTAGAGGATTAATCAATCTTTTTGCTTTTAAATTTTATTCAATTTAAGCTTAAATTTTTTTAAAAACAACCATTAATTAAATAAAAACCTTTCTTGCTTATTTTTAAGTGAATCAAAGAGAAAAAATCAAATAAAGAAATAAAGCAAAGACATCAAGAATGTGATCGAAGGTGTCATAACAGTTTTGAGAGTCGCTGACGAATTTGAAAACAAAAAAGAGTTGCCATCATTTTTTTTTGTTAGGTGTAATTGGCCACCTATTAAAACTTATTCTTTTAATAAAATTTTAAAATTAATTAAAACTTTATCAAAAAAATAATTTTTTGGTCTATGAAATTAGTTTAGGTTCAGGAGTTGGTTATGCTCGGGGAAGGATTAATACCCCATGTTTAAAACGGTACTAATTAATTATATGTTATCCTTAAATTATGACTAAAATGGTCTTAATTTTGTATTTAAAATTTAATTTCTTTAATTTTCTTTAAAAGCATTTTTTTATTAATAGCTTGCAAAATAAATAAGAACCCTACATATTGAAGAATCCCTAAACATATTTCAATATTCTGAAAATATTAAAAAGAATATCTCACTTAAGAAATTTTTAAAAATCACTACTTGAAATTTTCAAAAAACCTATTTTCGACGGTTCATATTTATTTTCAATATTTGTACTTAAAAAAACGTGGAGTATAATATCTATAATTTAAAATCAAATAATATTTTTTAAAAAATTTATTATTTTTATTCTACCAAAATGAGAAACCGATATAAAAAATTATTCTAAATACTCTAATATATTGGCAACATTTTAGATAAATTTTTTCACTAGAGTTTTCTAAAGAATCACTATTCGGACCTTTAGGATCTCATTCTCAAAATTTTCCATTTAAGTTCATAAAAAATTGTATTACTTAAAAGTTATGAAACAATATAATGATCTATAAATTTATTTCCTAAAAAATGCATACTCTTACAAATAATTTATATATATTTTATCTTTTTAAGAAAATTGTTTAAATTAAAGAAGAATAAAATCTTTATATTGAAAAGAGTTTATAAATATTCTAGTACTTTGATAATTTTTATAAGTTTTTTCTCACCTAAGAAATTCTCAAGAATCACTATTTAGACTTTTCAAAGTCTCATCATCAAAAGCTTCAATTACTTTAATATTTAAAAATCATATAATAATATTATTATCCATAAATAAATTTATTTAAAAAATATAAAATTTTATATTATTTAAAAAAATACTCAAATTAAAGAAAATAATAATAAAATGAAAGTTTTATTATTGAAAAGAAGCTTATAAATATTTCATTACTTAGGTAATTTTTAGAAAACTTTTCTCACTTAAAAAATTCTTGAGAATCATTATTTAGACTTCCTAGAGTCCTGTAATTGGAACTTTCAATTACTTTCAAGATTATATAATGTCGAGAACAAGTACAACATGCATATGAAAAAACATATTATATATATAAAAAACTTATTACCTATCTTCTTTATGTTATATTTTCATTACTCACTTTAATCTTGTCTTAATCATCTAATTATTTCACTATCGTTATTAATAATTTTTAAAAGGAATAAAGTAAAGAAAATCTTTTTATTGAAAATTTTTTAAATACCTTGATACTTTGACGGTAAATTTTTTTAAAAGAATTTTCTCACCTAAGGACTTATTAGGAATCTCTACTCGGACTTTCTTATAATCTCATCCTCAGAGATTTTATTTACTTTTTCCTTTCTTATTTATTTTTATCCTAATTCCAATCTTTAATTTCTATTATTATTTTTATTGAAAAGCAAAAATAGTTAATCACTATATTAATTTTATTCCTAAAAGAGCAATTATATTATTTTATTGTTATCTAATTTAATTTTAGGGAATGAATGAAAATTATTTGTATTGAATTTTTTTTAAATAATCGATTATTTTGATAGTATTTTTTAAAAAATATTCTCACTTAGAGATTTTAAGGAATCGCTACTCGGACTTCCTTAAAATCTCATTCTCGAAAATTTTCATTCGTGTTATTATTAACATTATTATAAATTTAACGTGTAAGAAAAATAAAATATGCCAAACATAGATGAAATTATGAAAGACTAAATTAAAACAAGCATAGGAATCCAAACAATAAAGAAATTAACAACTTATAAAATTAAACTTTCAATTAAATCTAAACAACACCAAAAAAATGTATAAGTAAAATTAAGATTAACACTCAAGAAAATAAACCTTGTTGGGAACAAACTTTAAGCCTAATATTTTATAGAATTTTATTTATTACAAGATTCCAACTAAAGGGGTTTACCAATCTACTTTTTATTATTCTAATCATGTTAGGCCAAAAGGAAACATAAGATCCAATTAATCTACCACCATGGTCCTCGCGCTTTTTTATACAGAGCTTTGTTATCTTCTTCAGATGGCTTTCTTTCTTTAATATTTCTTCAATCCTAAAAGAAACCATGCAACCCATGTAATCCCACCCTTTTTTAGAAAAAGCTTAGTTTTTTTCTTTATACGGCTTTCCTTCCAGCTTTAGTTTTCCTTTACCCATGGCCTTATTTTATTCTTGAACCAAATTAAAACATGAAAGGTGTGACACTTTTACATCTGTATGTGGCACGTGAAAGGTAGAAGCTTTATGCTTCCATGTAATGAACCAAAACTAAAGTTGGCATTTTTGACACAATACCAATTTTTGCACTCCAAGGTGATAACAACAAACCCGAGCCATTAGCATTGCCCAGGCAATGTTTGAATGCCTTTGAAAACTATGAACCCTACCTTTGATGAGTGTCTTGGGAAAGTGTTCTTTCACTTTTCTTTCTAAAAACTCTTTTAAATAGTTGCTATAGCTTTGAGGATTCTATTATGGCAGACAAAAAGACAATTTTTTTTAGATTCTTTTAGCTTAAACGGGAACCATTCATGTTAGAAAAGAATGCATCAAATCTTTTTCATATAAAAATCTAAGAAAGCTACCCGAATATTCCCTCAAATTACATAAATGAAACAAGATGAATATTACATGAACTTAAATGCAGGGAAATGGATAAAGGAGCTACCTTTCCTCTGAAATCCCCTAAAGATAACAATCTCCTTCCTTTTATCCAAGCTCCCTTTATTTTCCTCAAAGCTTTTTTCTCTATTTTTTTTCTTAGCTCATTGTCCTCTTCATTTATGGTCGTTCCTCCTTTTCTTTTCTCCTCATAACTCCCATTTCTCTAAAACCAAAAAAATTTTCTTTTTTTTTGCAACAAAAAAAAATCCCCTTTCTTAAAAAGAACCCATATTGTCTTCATTCTATTCATGTGACCAGAACTTCCTCCCTAAAACAGGCCATTTCTTAGGCCTCTTCTATAAAGACTATATTTGGTCCATAAAAATAACTTTAGGTGTACAAATAGGCCATATTTGGCTACAAATTGAGCCATGTAATGGGCTATCTGTGGACTTTTTTCGGGTTATAAATGGGCTGAATAATGAGCTACATTATGAGTTCCATTTGGGCTTCGTAAAAAGGTCTCTAAATGGGCCAACTTGTAGGCTTAAAATGCACTTTTAATTGGGCTGTAAATTAAGCCCGTAATCAGGTCCTCTATTAAGTTGTGAATGGGCCCTTTAATCGGCTTTTCTTTTTTTTTTTATCAATTTCAAGCCTCTTTTGATGGTTATCTTGGGCTTTTAATTTGGCCAGAAAATAAGTCATTTTAAAAATTATCCATTTTGATCTTTATTTTGGTATTTCGTAAAACAAGCCTTGTTTAATGATGTTATATCATTCTAGACAAAATAACGTGTTTACAAAAAGCTTTAAAAAACTCGAACTTCAATTTATCAAATCGAACTTGGGTTTCTTCTAACTAAGATCCCTCCATATACTAATTGAAGCAAATAATAAATTGAAATTATAAACTCTTTGTGCTTCAACATTACTTTGTTTTATTCAAAATTTTTATACTCTTCCACCTCAAATGTACCAAAATAGAATCAATTCTAAAGACTTGTGTCTTATGTATAATTTATTTTTTTTTCATTTCAAAAAAATAACTTTTTTT